CCGCTTTTTGTTTTTTTTTTTTTTTTGCAAGAGGGAAAAAATCTCGACCGTTATCGTACGTACAGATGTCGCAGATGTTCTACGTGTTAAATAGAATCCTTGAATTCATTTGTCACGATTCCAGAGAAACTACATTGTCACGATGAACGGTACTCTGTAATGTCGCCATGTACATTAGGAGGAAACGCAAGGATAAGAAAATAGATACTCGTGGCTAGATTTATACGCAAATATAAATTGTCAGCCGAGTGATCATAGGAAATATCGCGGAGGATATACGATATCGTAGTTCGTAACGTGGTTCTCGATTGTGCGAGTTGCAAGGGGTTCTGTCTTTTAGGTTTCTCGAAAAAGAGAAGAAAGAAAAGAAAAGGAAAGAAAGGAAGGACGACCCTTGCAAGAACAGAAAAGCCATCAGCGCTGATAAATAAAATGTTAGCGCTACACCGACTGTCTGCTCCGGCGCGTATTCTTATTAAACGCGGCCATGTACGTGCATATACGTACACTTGAACCCCGTGCTTTTTGCCTGGGGTGCGTTAGGGGGTGCCTGGACGATGTGGATCGGTGAAGCACGCATACGTATAGATCCCAGCCACCCTGATTCTCTCTCTCTCTCTACGTTGCTCGCTGTTGGCTGCTGCTACCGCTACCGGTGCTGCTACCGGTGAAACGCGTGCACTCCAACCAAACAAAAGCGACCTGTGCCACCCTTTCACCCCTTTTCACCCCCATCAGTCAGCTTTGCGCCGCTCTTACGTAATAATACTCCGACTTATGTCTACCTATACTAGATTGATCGAGCTTGCGTGTGATCCTATCGAGGAAATTAGCGAAACCAATCGCGTTATCCGATTTTCTCGTTTGGCTGGCTGTTGCGGTTTCATCGACAAAAATATTCAAAGAGTCGATACCACGACTCTTTAAACCTTCGACTCATAAGATGAAAAAGAAGGTGTTACAATTGGACAGGAAGGGAAAACTTGTCCGAGATTTTTCCTCCCCGAACCGTCTATTCGATTTTTCACAATAGCGAAGACACGTTCTTTTCGTCTCTTTCGTTTGAAAGGTGTTCACGCCGACATCCTTTTTTTTTTTTCCTTTTTCAAATGTCGCCACGGTAAACAACACAGATGGCTTTCTTCTTTTTCAAGGAATCTCGCCGCCGCCGACGACGACGACGACGACGACGACGCATCGTTTGCATCTTCAATAATCCGACGAGTGGAACAGCTGGGAGAGCAGCAATGGCCAACCGCGCAGCCCCCGGTTGTCACATTCTCTGTTTCCGCCTCGTTACAGAGGGAGACGAGACAAAAACTTTCATCCAGTGGATCTTTTTCTTTTCCACCCGCGTCACCATCCCTTGGATAAACGTTTACTGGGGCAAAGTGAGCCACCATCCATAATTATTGTCCCGCATTGGTGAGAGGTCGACGCGTAATATTCGCGTCGCGTAAATTCGCCCGGGTTTATAACGGCGGAATGGAAATTATCGTCATTAATGACAGGCTGAGAGTGCGCGCGGCGCACGGTATTCGTCTCGACCCGCGTAGCCTCCTCTTGACTCCTTGACGACGTGCGCGTAAAAGTACCAAGAAATCGTGACATGGCGGAGCGGCATTCGCGTTTATTATGTGGAATGTAGGAAGGACGAAGTGGTGGAATATAATTTTTACGAAAGGGGGAACTCGG